CTTAAAGGGACATTTCACTTATTTGGGTGATTTCATGGTAAACTATGACCGGAGAAAAAACTGATTTATCGTTTAGAATTCCAGTAGAAAGGTATGATACCTTCGCATTGACACTATTTAAAAGTTTTTTTTTCAGCCCAATAAAATCTAAAATTATCATATTTCAATGATATCATGTGTCAGCCATTATATAATAAAATATAAAAACTGTTGATTTTAGAATTGGCAATAAATTAACGTTTTTCGTGTTCAAACATGATTTAACAAATTAACACGTTTATACAATGACGACTTTCTCTCTCAGACAAACCGATTCGTAGATTCCAACTCTTCAATAAATCAAGGGGATTCCTGGGGAAGTAAGGAAAACGTATCAAACCGTCAAATGTTTCAAATAAATTATATTTTGAAAATAGACAATTTCAAAATAATTTTTTTTTAAAATTCAAGATATTAACAATCAACTTTTAGATGCTACAATTTAATTTAATGTTTGAAAATTTTTAAAATCCATGACTCTGACAAAAAGCATCAAATAGTGTAAATACAAAGGTATCATACCAACCTTAGCTCTGGAATTCTGAATGATAAATCGGCTTTTTCTCATGCCACAGTTTTCTTTGAAAAGTAAGACTAATACCAATGAATAGCTAATACGTTATTTAGTTTACCCTCAAACTACCCAAATAAGTGAACGGTCCCCATAGACCCAGTACATATAACACAGACCAAATATAGACCAAGTGAAACTTTATATCACAGACTGAACATAGGCCAAGTACAAACATCTGTTACAGACTAAACTTAATCCGTTTTTAGAGGATGGTAGGAAAGATGTTATAAAGATTTGTGTAGGTTGCCTATGTTTTTTTATAAACATTTATCTTGTTTTAGTGTCATCTTTCCTAATTCATCTAAACGCTTGTTAATAATGTAAATATCCTACTAATCTACATAATGTTGATATATACAATATATTCAATATATTACATACTTGACAATCTTCAGAATATGACATTAAATATATTAGGATAATAAAACAATTAACTGTTTCTGGTGATCATCTTTGACTCATAGATCTTGTATATGAAACATTAATAGATCTATAATCTATACAATATAAAGCAGAGTTTCTATGCCTGTTATAGCCGGCACAACCATAACACTTTCTAACGCTTTCTGCTGGGGTAATGTCTTTTTAGAAACACCATCTGTATCAAATTAATCGTCCTTCCACCTCCCGTATCCTTTTCCGTCTACGTTTTTATCCGTCCTACCACCTCCTGTATCTTTACTGTGTTAGATTGTATCCGTCCTTGCACATCCTGATCTGTTCTGTTTTGGTTTTTATCCGTCCTTGCGTCCTCTCTATCTGTTTTTTCGTCCTTACTTCCCCTGTATCTTTCATGCGTTGGTTTGTACCCGTCCTTACAACGCCTGTATGTTTTCTGTGTTAGATTGTATCCGTCCTTGCACATCCTGTATTTGTTCTGTTTTGGTTTTTATCCGTCCTTGCGTTCCCTGTATCTGTTTTTTCGTCCTTACGTCCCTTGTATCTTTCCTGTGTTGGTTTGTATTTGTCATTGCGTCCCCTGTATCTTTCCTGTGTTGGTTTGTATTCGTCATTGCGTCCCCTGTATCTTTCCTGTGTTGGTTTGTATTCGTCATTGCGTTCCCTGTATCTTTCCTGTGTTGGTCTGTGTTCGTCATTGCGTTCCCTGTATCTTTCCTGTGTTAGTTTGTATTCGTCACTGCGTTCCCCGTATCTTTCCTGCATTGGTCTGTGTTCGTCATTGCGTTCCCTGTATCTTTCTTGTGTTGGTTTGTATTTGTCATTGCGTTCCCTGTATCTTTCCTGTGTTAGTTTGTATTCGTCATTGCGTTCCCCGTATCTTTCCTGCATTGGTTTGTGTTCGTCATTGCGTTCCCTGTATCTTTCCTGTGTTGGTTTGTGTTCGTCATTGCGTTCCCTGTATCTTTCCTGTGTTAGTTTGTATTCGTCATTGCGTTCCCTGTATCTGTTTTTTGTTGGTTTGTATTCGTCATTGCGTTCCCTGTATCTTTCTTGTGTTGGTTTGTATTCGTCATTGCGTTCCCTGTATCTGTTTTGGGTTTGTATCGGCCCTTCTGTATATATTGACCAAGTCTAGACAAGGATAAAGAAATTGATTATAAAAACTATTTATGTTAAAATATTAGCATAAATATCTGTCTATGAAGGGGAAATATTTTTTTAAATACCATACTTATCATTCTAAGGCTTCAAATACTAAAGCTGAACCTTGAGATTAGAATTACATCTAGAATCAAATTTAATGTAAATGAATAAGAAGGCTTAGTGAGAGCTGAGGAAGTGTTGGGAAAGACTTCTAGATTAAATTCTTCAGTTTGCAATTATAAAACAGAAGGTTTTGCATAATAATATATTATAATTTTGCATAATTATATATAATAATATATTTATTGTATATGAAACACTATTGTGTACAGTCCGTAAGAAACTAATATCGATAAAATGTATCTAGCTTTCTATATGTGTGTATTGTATATGTATGAATAATGAAGAATATGATATTTATGTATATGTATAATGTATGATAATATTGATCTGTACCTACATACTATACTATACTAGGGGTTGTTAAACTCTACGTTATCGTATACAAAACAAATCATATATTAGAACTGGACTACAGTGACTATAATTAGAGCTAGGGTAACTGTACAGACTACGGTAACTATAATTAGAGCTAGGGTAACTGTACAGACTACGGTGACTATAATTAGAGCTAGGGTAACTGTACAGACTACGGTGACTATAATTAGAGCTAGGGTAACTGTACAGACTACGGTGACTATAATTAGAGCTAGGGTAACTGTACAGACTATGGTAATTGTACTGACAAAGGTAATTGTGCAGACTAGGGTAATTGTTCAGACTTTGGTAACTGTAGAGTGTTCAGACTGGCGTGATGTTACAGCGTGCAGACTAGGTTAACTGGGTAACTGTACAGTGTACAGACTAGGGTACCTGTACAGTGTACAGACTAGGATAACTGTACAGACCAGGGTACCTGTACAGTGTACAGACTGGGGTAAATCTACAGTATACAGACCAGGGTAACTGTACAGTGTATAGACAATGTTAATAACTGTACAGTGTACAGACAATGTTAACTGTACAGTGTACAAAATAGGGTAACTGCAAAATGTACAGAATAGGGTAACTGTGCATACAGGGTGTCCCACGAAACATGACAGTTGGTGAATAGTTTTAAATGTCTTCTTCCATATACTGTATCAGATATTAAAGACTTTTTGCAGTTTATTTCTTTAAACAAAACTTTTACTTAAATATATTTTATTTTCTTATCAATTTTACTACAATATGACGACCATGTGATATTTTTTATAATTCACTTTGGCATCAAAGAACTGAACAAATCATGGAAGAAGACATTTTAAATTAATCACCAACTGTCATGTTTCCTGGGACACCCTGTATGTACACTTACCCTATTCTTTACATTGTGCAGTTACCCTATTCTGTATATATATCTATGGCTAGACAGAAATGCAGACAGTATAACTAAAACTGCAGACTTTATGACTGTATTACTATTTACTGACCCCATTACTCTACAAGTTTACAACTTTATTCCATTTAAACTATATTCCTCCGAACCAAACCAAACATAGAAACAGCGTGGTTTGGGGAGGGGAGCCCAGGATGGGATCATATTCTGGTTTCTATAATATCCCCCTTTTTAGCGTTACACAGAACCCTCCTTGCTTTGCAAAACCTTCCCCAACCTTAAGTTTACTCAGAGTATTCAAACTTAGGAAGTATATTGCAATATAAATCAGTTTATTAATATTTGATTGAGATATGACTGTGAATAGAAAATCAAGTGTCTCATTCCTGGAACAACACTTGTACAAATATAAATATTTGTATGTTTAATGTAAACATCATAACATGTAGATTCATTTTTAATCAAAATTAACCCGGTACCCCTAATATCAAGACTTTGCAACGTTTAATTGACTTAATAGATTTCCTTAAAGACATAGTATTCACCAAATATTGCTAGTCCTGACATTTCCAAAATGTGGTCTGCCTTTACTAGAGATATGAAGAATTTCGTTTAGATTTCGACAATTTTGGTTTTAGTTAACAAAATTGAAATCTGAACAAAATTCTTTATATCTCTGGTAATATTGACAGCACAAAAAGGCAGACCACATTTTTGAAATGCCAGGACTAGGAGAATTTTGTGGTGATTGTTTGAAGAATCATACATGTTAACTTAGGTTGACGACTGAATATCACAAATAAATTCAAAGATCTGTCATTTCATGTCATGACTTTGTAACATATTTCATAAGTACTGATCATACTTTTCAATTAATCCTAATAATAATTACAACTTGCATGACAACACACAGTTAGTTATGTCATGTTATGTATTTGGAGAATCTGGAGGATTTCATGACATGACTAATTTGTTCTCACGTTTAATCTTTAATAAATACAATCTTGTCCCAAGAGGATTATTCTTTACTAGGCTTTTGGGCGCTTCGCGGTTTTCTCCGCACATTTTTAAAATTTCATCCTTCGGGTCATGTCGGTTCAGTCGTTTTTACGTTTATTTGATTCAATATTTTATATTGAGGAGAATCCTCCATGCTCGGTGGACCCAAGGTCCTAATGCAAGGAAAGTTATTTCAGAGGTGTACGCATTTTTTGTAATGCAGTGTACTGTCTCTTGCATCAGTACCTTGGGTGGACCGATCAATTTTTTAAGCTTAACTTTTGTTTTTTTCTTGTTGGGTAACAAATAAAAAAATTCTGGCTTATATTCATTTATATTGTATAGTATACGAACATACACTGTTTTATTCATGTCTATACATGCATAAACTAATTTATCATTGTTTAATTATCATTTTTTTCTTTTATTTGTCATTGCTAGATATTTATTTTCCTTAATTATCAGGATTCATGAAAAGTCTAGTTTGTGCCTACCTGGGTTGGCGGGAGAGATCAAGGTACCAGGTGGACCTGGAGAAATATCCGCTCCTGCAACTCCAGGAGAACCTCTCTCTCAGCTCCATCATAAAAACAAGGTTTAATTTGAAGTGCAGTGAACAACGACAGCAATTTATACAAAATACATATAAATACTATAATACTAAGAGTATTGATGATGCTCTAAACTAAGATTATTCATGTATAGGATCATTTTTGTGGATCTTTTGCCTTGATGAATAGAATGCGCTTGCACGGTCAACTCTGTGATGTTGTTTTGCGTTCCTTATCTACCTCAGTACAGGTAATTTACTGTACAAGTACATCACTGTATTGTACAAGTACATAACTTTATTCAACGCGTACCTAACTTTGCTGAAAAAATACCTGACTTTACTGAAAATGTGCAGAACTTTACTGGAAAATACATAACCTTACTGAAAAGTACATATCTTTACTGTACAAATACATAACATTTCTATACAGGTATATAACTTTAGTGTAACAAAGTTTACAAGACATGAACATAGCATTACAGTACATAACACTGTACTTTACCAAACATGCAGATATTATTACAATATTACATGGAACGGTACATGGCTTTATAGTACATACTGTGTATTTAATTAAAGTAAAAGTAAATAAACATCGATGCAGTACAGCAATATAACTTTACTGTACGGTTAGATTATACTAACATGATCTAACTTTACAGTTTAAGAAAGTACTTTTCTAAATAACTTTTTAATATTTAAGGCTCATAGAATAGTTCTTTCCTCTGCCAGTCCGTACTTTCATGCGATGTTTAATGGTGAGATAGTTTAGTTCTAGATAGTTTAGTTCCAGATAGTTTAGTTCTAGATAGTTTATTTCTAGATAGTTTAGTTCTGGATAGTTTAGTTCTAGATAGTTTAGTTCTAGATAGTTTAGTTCTAGATAGTTTAGTTCTAGATAGTTTAGTTCTAGATAGTTTAGTTCTAGATAGTTTAGTTCTAGATATTATTCTACTGTCTGCCAGATGATACATATTATCATTTCGATGTCTGGTTTCTGTAGGTAAAACGTGTTTTAGTGATTGCGAGATGTTTCTAATATCTTTATAAAAATCTTTATAAAATAATAATATATAATTTCAGTGTTGAAAAAGTTTGTAACTTTTCAACTTTCGAAATAAATGTAAAGAACTTGAGTCTTTGCCACAAACCCTAATTTTCTAATTATCTTTGCCTATATCTTTTCATCCAGAGTCAGAATTTAAAGAATTGGAACCGCGTCGATGAACCGCCGATAAACAAAGTTAAACNCTAATTATCTTTGCAGTCAAATTTCATAGACCTTAGAAACATTCGACCCGTGAATCCTGTTAGATTAAATAATTTAAGTTTGAAATATCAAAGGTTTACACCATCAGGTTGAAAAGATAAAGATATTTAAAATACTTAAGCTTGTGACAAAGACTCAATTCCCTCAAGTAATATTCGAATTCTATTTTTGTTGAATTCTGGTTTCTATATCCAACCACAAATAACTCATTAAAATTCTATTGTTAAAATTAGTGATTTTGTTATTACATACTCTAATCTAGATGATCTAGCGGAGAAGAGTCGTCATGAGGTTGTGATCCATGATGTTGATCCTCTAGCTCTCACTCTCCTTGTAGACTTTGCATACACAGGAGAGATTGTCGTTACAGAGGAAAATGTTCAGGTTTAGATATTCTGTTAAAATTATTAATAAAAATTCAATTTTCTTGAAAGAATGTTTTGAAAAGAAGAAGAGCGATGTTCTATCAAGTTTCACTTTGTTCCAGGTTTTACTTCCTGCCTCAAGTCTTCTTCAGATGCACTCCGTTCGAGAAGTATCCTGTAAATTTNATTGTATTGTATTGTATTGTATTGTATTGTATTGTATTGTATTGTATTGTATTGTATTGTATTGTATTGTATTGTATTGTATTGTATTGTATTGTATTGTATTGTATTGTATTGTATTGTATTGTATTGTATTGTATTGTATTGTATTGTATTGTATTGTATTGTATTGTATTGTATTGTATTGTATTGTATTGTATTGTATTGTATTGTATTGTATTGTATTGTATTGTATTGTATTATATTGTATTGTATTGTATTGTATTGCACCTGAACTCTAGTTTTGTTAGTCCTAAAAGGAGAATATTGTATTTCCTTTATCTTCTGAGATAATCCGGGAGAAAACAAGTTTCATGTAAAAAGATGAATTTTACAGCGGATCAGACAGATTTTTCATTGATTAAAGAGAAAATAATAGTTTTCTTTACTTTGGATGTCCCCGATCAACTACTTGTAAGTGTAATTTCAAAGACCGTCGATGGCAATGTCCAATTTAAAAAGATACTCTTATAACCTTTTTCTGATCAAAAATGTTAAAGAAATTGTCGTTTTTCTATATTGTTTTCTTGCAGTAATGTGCAAGTCACTTTTGTAGAGAAAACACAATTTAAGATAATCATTTTTGTAAATTATATAAACACCTGAAATTACACAAACAGTCCCTTTAAGAATTGAATGAAATATTTGAATGGTATATTTTAGGACGTTTGCGGATACTCACGCGTGTCAGGAGTTACAGAAACGATCTCACAAGTTCGCCCTACAAAACTTTCAAGAAGTCATGAATACAGAAGAGTTCCTTCTCCTGCCATATCAACAGGTAGAATACAAAAGTATAAAGGCAAGGGTGTATATTTTCTTGAAAAATTATCCCCCCATCATTGAAAATTATTTATTCTCCCCAGAAGAACCCCCAGAGGGGGGGGGGTAATTATTAAGATTATGCATCCCTTATAAGGGTTTGCCAGCTCTGCCTAGAACCTTTAATCTCTAGCTTTCCACCCTTCACATACCTTCCCCTTCTAGACCTCCAGGCTCCTCCCACCTCACCAGCTTCTACCCTTCACCTACCCCTTCAACACCTCCTCCAACCTCATTAGCTTTCTACCGTTCACATACCTTCCCCTTCAACACCTCCTCCCACCTCACCAGCTTCTACCCTTCACCTTCCTTATCCTTCAACACCTCCACCCACCTCAATAGCTTTCTACCCTTCACCTTCTCCTTCCACCCCTCCTCCAACTTCACTAGCTTTCTACCCTTCACCTTCCTCTTCAACACTCCTCCCACCTCACCAGCTTCTACCCTTCACCTACCCCTTCAACACCTCCTCCAACCTCATTAGCTTTCTACCCTTCACCTACCTTCCCCTTTAACACCTCCTCCCACCTCACCAGCTTCTACCCTTCACCTACCTTACCCTTCAACACCTCCTCCCACCTCAATAGCTTTCTACCCTTCACCTTCCTCTTCAACACCTCCTCCAACTTCACTAGCTTTCTACCCTTCACCTTCCTCTTCAACACCTCCTCCCACCTCACCAGCTTTCTACCCTTCACCTTCCCCTTCAACACCTCCTCCAACCTCACCAGCTTCTACCCTTCACCTTCCCCTTCAACACCTCCTCCCACCTCACCAGCTTCTACCCTTCACCTTCCTCTTCAACACCTCCTCCCACCTCAATAGCTTTCTACCCTTCACCTTCCTCTTCAACACCTCCTCCAACCTCACTAGCTTTCTACCCTTCACCTTCCTCTTCAACACCTCCTCCCACCTCACCAGCTTTCTACCCTTCACCTTCCTCTTCAACACCTCCTCCAACCTCACTAGATTTCTACCCTTCACATACCTTTCCGTTCAACACCTCCTCCAACCTCACCAGCTTTCTACCCTTCACCTTCCTCTTCAACACCTCCTCCCGCCTCACCAGCTTTCTACCCTTCAACTTCCCCTTCAACACCTCCTCCCACCTCACTAGCTTCTACCCTTCACCTTCCCCTTCAACACCTTCTCCCACCTCTCTAGCTTTCTTCCCTTCACCTTCCTCTTGCCTCTTCTGTTCAACCCCTAATAACTTTTTGGTATTTTTAATCTATAAAAATGCGCAAATCGAAAAAAAGAAAAATTCTTTCGTTTCAGTCTGTGCAAAGAAACCCAACAAATTGCCATGTATCTACCGGGTTTCCTAATTTTTGTGTTACCTAAATTATTATATACGTATATGTCTATTTATATTTGAAAAATTTTCAACATTTAATTGAAATGATCTTTTCTTTTCGGTTTTTACTCTTTTGCTCTAAAAACTTGGATACATTTTTTTTTGGTTAATTCATCCAATTCATAGAGAATAAACTATGTCCGTGTGATCCAATTGAGTCAACTATAAATTAAAACTATAATATTAAACTTGCTAAACTGTTATATTTTATTAAATTTTGTTAGAACTATAATAAGGACAAAACCAGAGACATTGATATATTTTGCTGAACCTTCCTCTTGGCAGCATTTTGATTTTTTCTTTTCTATTCCCCCGACCTTGTCCTAAGGAACAATGGGGGTCGAGAATATTATATAGAAAACTAGATATTAGACCTGAGCTGGGAACTCTTGTATTTTGGATATCGAGATCAATACATGATCTCGATCTTTTGTTAATCTGAAGATTAGTTTAATCTTTATTCGATACCCCGCATGGTCAAGAATTGAAGGGAGCTTGGATCAGGGGAGGAAAAATATTAAAAAAATATGGAAAGGTTTAATTTTTTGTATAGATAATCAAATTAAAAGTGCCGAACTTGGATATCGAGATCAAGAGATCTGGAAAATGAGTATCCAGCACAAAGGTTCCCAGCACTGAAGATATATCTGGAAATACAAAAATATATTCTCATTTGTATCAATGAAGTTGAATATTTAAAATAAAACTTCAGATTTACGACAAAATTGAATTCATCTTATCCATTAATACTTTGATCCTTTAATCTTCTTTAGATCCCAGAATTAGAGTAACAATCCAATTCTCAAAACTATTGATAGTGATACTTTTGGATTGTTTTCTTCTTTACCCTCCTTATTTCAACCACACAAAAACTTCTTTTTAATACATTAATTCATGGCAATTCAGAGGGGGGCAATGGGGGGGGACCACCCCAAAACTTTAATCTCCTTTTTCTACATCTCCAGCTCAAATCGCCTTACTCTATCCCAGCCAAATTTATGATCGCTGTGGTTCTCACCACCCTTAACCTTTAATGTCCTCGTACGTACGTTATCCTTGTATCCTTGTATTCTTGTATCCTTGTACCCTTGTATCCTTGTATCCTTGTATACTAGGCTGATGAGTTAATCTCCAGTAGTAACCTGAACGTAGATAAGGAGGAAAAGGTTTTCCAGGTAAACCATAATATTTACAGTCATTTTTTTATTTATTAATTTTTACTTTCATTCATTTATTAATTCATTTTTACGTTGATCCAACGAATGTAAATGAGGAACCCCTAAATCATTCTTTACGATAAAATGTAGTACGCACCTTCTAGAAACTGAACTTTTTTTCTAAAATGGATATGGGGACCGGGGACAAAATGGATATGGGGACCGGGGACAAAATGGATATGGGGACCGGGGACAAAGCGAGTATTTAATCACTTTGGACCGGGGAGGGGTTGCTGGTTCATATGTCTTGTTTTTATCCGCTATCCAATCATAAGTTGCATTCCATCAATATAATTATCTATAATTATTTTAATTTCAAAACTTTTGTATTTTAAATCTGCTCAGAACACGCTCAGTCGTTTGATCAAAGTCAACCCAGCCTTTTATCATTTGTTAATTATCTTTCGGTGGATTTATTTTAAAAGTTAACACTGTGGATATACAGTTCAGTCGATATGGCTCAGCTCAGCACTATCCAAATCAAATGATATAGCCTCAGATCAATCTTAATATTTATTATGTATATAATTCTTCCAACCCCACAATAATTTATCCTTTCTGATCGGTCCTGAAAGACCGATTGATAAAGAATAAAAATATAGACATTTCCCTTCCTTCTTCTGTTTACTTTCTATATTGGAGAATCAATAACAACCGGTTTATTGTTTACTAACAGTATAAATAATAACTGGTTTATTGTTTATTGGCAAACAAAAGATAGTTCTACAAGCAAAAACAAGGCAAAGGTTTTTGTCGGAAAAATAGGAATGAGGTCATTTTTTAATGAAGGGAGATTGGTATGGGAAGAGGGGGAGGGTGAGGGCGAAGCTAAACCAAGTAAATGAATATATGAGAATGATATGGGAATGGGGGGGGGGTGAGGGGGAAGCTAAACCAAGTAAATGAATATATGAGAATGATATGGGAAGAGGGGGGGGGGGGTTGAGGGGGAAGCTAAACCAAGTAAATGAATATATGAGATTGGTATGGGAAGAGGGGGGATGAGAACGAAGCTAAACCAAGTAAAGTAATATATTTATATTATTAGACGTTAACATATCTATATTATTAGATGTTCACATATCTATATTTTTAGACGTTAACATATCTATATTATTAGATGTTCACATATCTATATTATTAGACAGTTAGCATATCTATATTATTAGATGTTCACATATCTATATTATTATATGTTAACATATCTAAATTATTAGATGTTAACATATCTATATTATTATATGTTAACATATCTATATTATTAGATGTTAACATATTTATATTATTAGATGTTCACATATCTATATTATTATAGGTTAACATATCTATATTATTAGATGTTAACATATCTATATTATTAGATGTTCACATATCTATATTATTAGACGTTAACATATCTATATTATTAGATGTTCACATATCTATACATTATACGTAGTTGGCAGATCTATTGATATAATTTAATGAAACACTTTCAGGAGATAAATAAATATCGAATAATTAATTCAGTATTATTCCTCAGTAATATTCACGTAGAATAATCATTTTGTATCCAGGTCAGGTTCTATGTATAGTTCTATTTTCATGATCCTGGTTTCAGGTCTGTGTATCCATGGTTTTAAGTATATCCATATCCTGGTTTCAGGCCTGTTTATCTATGTTTTTAAATATATCCATGATACTAGTTTCATTCCTGTGTATCCATGGTTCTAAATATATCCATCCATATACTGGTTTCAGGCCTGTGTATCAATTGTTCTAAATATATCCATATACTGGTTTAAAGCCTGTGTATCATGCATGGTTCTAAATATATCCATATACTGGTTTCAGGCCTGTGTATCCATGGTTCTAAATATATACATCCATATACTGGTTTCAGGCCTGTGTATCCATGGTTCTAAATATATCCATATACTGGTTTCAGGCCTGTGTATCCTGGATAAAACATGATCCTGGATTAAGAAAGCAGTATGTTTACAAGCTGCTAAAACATGTCAGGTTGCCTTTAATCTCTCGACAGTTTCTGATGACTCATGTAGACTCCGAGCCCTTGGTTCGAGAGAATGCTGAGTGCAAGGAACTGCTCCTTGAAGCTATGCGATATCATCTTCTACCAGAGCAGAGAACCTCCCTGGTATCCTATAGAACAACCCAGAGACAACCTGAAGGAGCTAAACCTTACCTCTTCGCAGTTGGCGGAGGAAGCCTTTTTGCCATCCACTCCGAGTGTGAGGTTTACAATCCCGTAGTGGACCGTTGGACGAGCATAGCGAGTATGTCAGTTCGGAGATCTCGGGGTGGGGTCGGAGCATTGGGAAACATGTTGTATGTGGTCGGAGGTTATGATGGATCCAATGATCTAGCAACCGGAGAATCCTATAATCCTCAAGCAAACAAGGTGAAACCTTTATCCTCTTGTCGGGGAGTTAAAGCAAACATTCAATACATTTATTATTCTTTATATAAACTTTATTTCAATTGAAAGAAAGCAGAGATTAAATTTTTAATCAACGCTTTATATAAACATGACAATTTAAATAATTTGTATATAAAGTAGTAATCTCTGTTTGTTTGTATGTCTGATCATAACTTCTGAACCCTGTGACCGATTTACCTTGGATAAATAATTTCATTCATTGATACAAATAATTCAATCTACTTGTAAAGCATATCTTATATAAAATTGAAGGCCTGTGTACTTCTTTGAAAGGTATTTAATTTGTTACATTAAATATATCATAAAAGAGAGTGTTCGCGAAAAATGAAAGGGGGTGTAGGCTTACAGCGATAAATAATCGCTTCTGATCGCTACTAATCTTACTTCTATCTGTTGCGTCTATCAGGAGAAAATTGTTAAAGACGTCTCATATAGAAGAACGTAGTGTCCATACAAATATGAGGAAGTTGGAACATACGACTAGGATCGTAAAAAAATCAATTTAATATCAAACAAATCATTTAGATATTAAATCCTATAGTCATCGATTATTTTTCGATGCAATTGTTTATAGTTGATATTTCATAATAAAACGAATGAGAATTATGTGAACTTGCAGAAAAAGCAGCAAACTTACATTTAAAATATTCCAGTGGAGCAATATATCTCCGATGGGGACTAAAAGAAGCTGCCTGGGAGTGAGCTGTCTGGACGGACTGCTCTACAGCTGTGGAGGATATGATGGAGCCTCCTGTCTGAGTAGTGTAGAGAGGTTTGATCCTCTGACCGGAGTCTGGACCTCATGTCCTGCAATGTCGACCAGGAGAAGATACTGCAGGGTAACCGTCCTAGGTTAGTTTTGTCAGTATATTAACCTATTTACATTAGAATAGTCTCTTTATGCAGACTATAAAGATGAAAATTGTACAACCCCTTGTACATCATATAGTGTCCCGGCACGCCATGCTGCGGTTCCATGTAATGTTTTATGACTGACATCTGACGGCCACTTGTTGCATTCAGGGGTTAAGTTTTACAACTTTTAAAGAAATACTCCAATTTAAATATAAAACATAACGTTTATGAATATTGTCTATTTTTAAAGATTTTGCTTTGCTATCATAGAGAATAGAATATATAGAGAGGAATTAAAAGAATCTCTCGGTATGAATTTTTTCAGTCCCTTTCAGCCTGAAAGGGAGTTCAAAGTGTACAAATCATGTAAATGTTNTGTACAGGTTTTCATAAACATACTACGTACATACATTGTACAGGTTTTCATAAACATACTACGTACATACATTGTACAGGTTTTCATAAACATACTACGTACATACATTGTACAGGTTTTCATAAACATACTACGTACATACATTGTACAGGTTTTCATAAACATACTACGTACATACATTGTACAGGTTTTCATAAACATACTACGTACATACATTGTACAGGTTTTCATAAACATACTACAGCAAATTCTACATCTATTGTTCTACAGGATTGTACACAAAGGATAAAACTTCAGAAACTGAACTAGATTTATAATATCTGTTTATGAATTATGATTCCCTGACAGAGGGAAGACACGCCACACCTTTTTTCGTCCGACCACAAATGACGTCACAATTCACCATTATTTCGTCCGACATTCTTTTTAAAGTACTTTACATTTACAATATTTTATTCGATTTTTTTGCCACTTCATGTTGTGGTTAATATGGTTTAAATATTTCATCCTGCTTTTTTTAAGTTGAGAACATCTTTTGAAGGTACAATAGGTTTAAAATAATTGATGGAAATTTTTATTTCATAATACCTCGAGCAAATCAAAACCACTTAACTAGGCTCCTTTCCAAAAATATGTTAATTTTTAAAATAAAAAAATAACAGAAACATGTGTGGTCCGTACGAAAAATAGGTATCTTCCGTTTTGTGCTTAAATGAGCTTAAATATGGTTTTATATTTTTAAATCAAAATGCATTCTAAACAAAATCAAATCATATTAAATAACATGACATTGCCTAAATTTGAAAAAAGTGTTATAGGACATAAAAATATACATCTGAAAACGCAGAGGCAGACGCCCAGACGAAAAAATGTAGAGTCAGAAGAAATAATTGTAAATTGTGACGTTATTTGTGGTGCGGAAGAAAAAATTGTGAGGTGTGCCTTCCCCGCTCATTCCCTGCAACTGTAAACTTCTTTCTTCGCCCAATCAGTAAAAAGGCCAAAAAATATACTCAAGGCAGAAGAAGACTTAGTTCAATCTTTAAATCGGCATATTCAAGCTGTTTCAGGTCGTCTTTACAGTATCATCCTTTGTACAGTGAAACCCTTAAACGAATACATCGAAAGAATTCATCAAATGTCGTATTCTTCACTTTCTGATAATGGAATGTTGCAGATATTTAGATTTTTAATTAAATGGTTATATGGAACTCTTTAAAACTGTTCCCGCATATTCATGGCTATTTTTTTATGTTCGCAAATACTGAAATTTACGTAATGTAGTATAAAACTCATTGAAAAATTGTCAAGACGACATTTGACAAATTCTTCCGATGTATTCGTTATTAAGGGTTTCACTGTATGTAACACTGTTTTTATCTGTTCTAAAGCCCAAATTTTCCCAAATTACCGGGAGTATTTAGGACGTACTTTGTATGTCTCCGTGTTCTATACTGTTTGTCCGCTAGGTGTCACCCAAAGTATAGGTGTCAGCACATAATCTAATTTCACTATGCTTTCTATTTGTTTTTGCCGAGAGGGGTTGTGTTTCACCGAGAGTAAGTGAAGACGTCATTTGTTTGCAAAAAGTACGGAGGGGAAAATTCTGGCTCTGTGAATATGTGATTCTTAAATTGAAAAAGAAGACGACTTTTAAAACTCGCAATTTTTTCTAGAAAACAGTCTACTTTTTTCGTCCGACCACAAATGACGTCACAATTCACCATTATTTCGTCCGACATTCTTTTTAAAGACTTTACATTTACAATAATTTATTCGATTTTTTTGCCACGTCATGTTGTGGTTAATATGGTTTTAAATATTTCATCCTGCTTTTTTTTAAGTTAAGAACATCTTTTGAAGGTACAATAGGTTTAAAACAATTGATGGAAATTTTTATTTCATAATACCTCGAGCAAATCAAAACCACTTCAGCTATGCTCCTTTCTAAAAATATGTTAATTTTTAGTTGTAAATTCTAAAAATCCTAGCGACTCACATAAAGTGGCAGTTTAGGAGTAAAATAAGAAAGTAAGAGAAAAGTGTGTGGTCCGTACGAAAAAAAGGTATCTTCCGTTTTGTGCTTAAATGAGCTTAAATATGGTTTTATATTTTTCAATCAAAATGCATTTTAAACAAAATCAAATCATGACATTGCCTAAATTTGAAAAAAGTGTTATAGGACATAAAAATATACATCTGAAAACGCAGAGGCAAAAGCCCAGACAAAAAAAGGTGGGTTCAGAAGAAATAATTGTAAATTGTGACGTTATTTGTGGTGCGGAAGAAAAAATGGTTAGGTGTGCCTTCCCCGCTCATTCCCTGCAAACTTCTTTCTTCGTCCAATCAGTAAAAATACCAAAATAAAAACTAAAGGCAGGAGACTTATTTCAATATTTAAATCGGCATATTCAAGCTGTTTAAGGTCGTCTTTACAGTATCATCCTTTGTATGTAACCCTGTATTTATCTGTTCTAAAGCCCAAATTTTCCCAACTTAACGGGTGTATTTAGGACGTACTTTATATGTCTCCGTACTCTATACTGTTTGTCCGCTAGATATCACCCAAAGTATAGGTGTCACCACATAATCTAATTTTACTAAGCTTTCTATTTGTTTTTGCCGAGATGGGTCGTGTTTCACCGTGAGTAAGTGAAGACGTCATATGTTTGCAAAAAGTACGGATGTGAAAATTCTGGCTCTGTGAATATGTGATTTTAAAATTGAGAAAGAAGACGACTTTTAAAACTCGCAATTTTTTCTAGAAAACAGTCTCTACGCAATGGGAGGATTTGATTCTACCAACTATCAATCTAGTGTGGAAAGATTAGACCCAAGGTAGATAATAAATACTACACAGTGCAAAAACGGGTTGTCCAATTACAGGAATTTCTACTAAAACCGGAAAAACTTCAAATTTAGCTAATTCGCTAATTGAAATTAAACAAAACTTCACTAGAAGAATCTAAAGTTTAAAAATAATGAGCTGGCCTTTCTTACTTACCCTATCGTTTTCACCTTTATATTTCGACTTAAATGACTTTTTAAAATGGATAATTCAGAAAATTCAGACCCATCATAATAAGACCTACGCCTTTTTAGGGTCCAATAACGCGGCTAAATCAAGAAAAGGCTATACTCCATACATGTCATCGTCGCATATATCAATTTAATGAGGACGATTTTCGATTTAATTTTTAATTAATATTAATTGCGTTTAAACAGCATGAATACGCATAAACACGAAAACAAAGAGGAACTGTCAATTAAGAAATTTAATTACTTGTCAACATGTAATTCAAGAACAGCTTGTTAACAATCAAAACTTGCATAAAAAAGTCGTCTTCATTGTATTGGTATAATCGCCTACCACTGTATATTATACCGTACGTAGAATTAGACCACCACTACCTTCACCATCGAAAATTAAAGATCAATTTGGTTGAACTGTGTAAAGGTTGTGCTCCATACATTTATGTACAGCCTATCACTCATTAGGATGGGTAAGTGGATGGCAGTACCATCCCTGGCTAGCCGGCGGTCGAGCTGCGGAGTAACTGCTCAGGACGGATATCTATACTGTGTCGGAGGAAACGATGGAACAATGTGTTTAGGTAAGCGAATATTTTTCATATTGGAGGAGGTCAGAACATTGGGTTTGTTAATTCTTGGATTAAGAGTTATCCGTACCTTTCCTTTGTTCTTATGTAGGATTTAACATTCGGGACACTTTAGTTCAGCGCCATCTTTAATCGCCATTTTAAATTTTAGCAACAGGAGAGAGATTTAATCCCCGACGGAACAGCTGGGAATCTATTCCAAATATGCACAGCCGTCGGTCAACTCACGAGCTCTGCGCTATAGACAACTATATATTTGCTGTCGGTGGTAATGATGGTTCATCCAGTCTTAACTCTGTAGAGGTGAGAAATTACGCAAGGTTTAAAAATAATGCTCAGGAGTTTATGATGTTGAGTATTGACTAAACCCTTTCTTACTTTTTAAGCCGAGTTTCAATTGAAAACATCAAATTTCGGCCTTTATCCCAAATAGTGAAAAAATAAATGTTTTTTTTTTCAGCGATATGATCCTCGTCTGAATAAATGGATGTTGGTTACAGCAATGGAGACAAGAAGATCCTCAGTAGCAGCAACAGTTCTTACCTGTCTTAATATAGAGAAATATCTATAGATAATAGAGATAATTAAACCTGAAATATCTATAGATAATAGAGATAATTAATCCTGAAATATCTATAGATAATAGAGATAATTAAACCTGAAATATCTATAGATAATAGATATAATTAAACCTGAAATATCTATAGATAATAGAGATAATTAAACCTGAAATATTAGATAATCAGATGTATCTAAACAGCGTACATTTATACGACCCCTAAAGTGCACTTTAAACGTTTAAACAAAGGAAAGTGCTCCGGGAAGTTCATATCGTTTTGAAAACTGTGGTATTCCAAGTTTACATTTTTTTCTGAGGGATCTGTATATTAGCTGAAATGTTTTAAATGTATTCGATGTGAATTTATTCAATCCAACCTGTTTGTCTTTCACAAGGATATCACTAGAATATCACAAGTAATTCTTTTATAATGGATATCACTTAAGAATTTTATTTGCAAGAGAATAATAAGTATTTATATCCTAAAGATATCACGTATATTCAAGTAATATTATACCCAAAAATGTGAAAGTTATTTCTTTTACAAGAATTTTGCAAGGATTTTACAATAATGTCAAAAGTAATTCTTTAACATTGATGTCAAAATATTTTTTCTTTCTGAAGGATATTACAATTTTTTCACAAAATTTCACAATTATGTTTTCACCAATATATATGAGAAGTATTTTTTTGATGATGTTAAAATAATTTTTACTCAAAAATCTTACAATTAAAATTTGATCCGTAGAATATCTCCAATTCTTCATTCAGGGTTATACATCATTATCCTTGTGATCAATGAGATTAAATAACTTAGGAGAGGGGAATAGAGTATGTGTAAACATTTTACTATGACGTCTAAGGACAACTAGGAACTATAGTTTGACCAAAACAACAGCAAAAATGGTAAACCTACTCAGGAATGCCGAGCTTGTGGAATCATTGGTAACTAATTTCTTAGAAGTCTTAATATATCACAGGTAGATCAAAACCTTATCAGGCTTGCTTGAGATATTTAGATCTATATGTGTACATTCAGACATTTTCTAGCTATGATTTAGCTGTGACTTCCTCGCCTAGTTAGCCTAAATCGCAGCTATATCACAGCCAAAAAAATGTCTAACGAATCGGATATCTAAGACGAGTAAATGTAATCTGAGTGTTATACAAATTTAGCGAAGACGACATCTAACATCGACAGCCCTGTATATCAAAAACTCTTTTGTTCTGCATACCAAAAGATTGAATAAAAATGTTTTTGTTATGAGTACTTCCTTTTTTGTGTTTGTTTTCAAAATATAAGAATATTAATGATATAACGAATATGTCCAGCTGCTCATCAATCATCATGCAATTTCTAGAAACATATTATTTATAGACATTGTAATATTACATTAATTATTGAAGAATATGAAAGTTTTATCTTGTATATTTAATATATGGTACGGCCCCTATGTCTCGTAGCAACTTTAACTTTAACTTTCGCAGACTTTTCTGTTCAAATTGGTGAATTTTCCAAAACCCGTAAATGTCGACATTTTTTTCCAGACAAATAACCCTTCGCTTGGGCTATGTGAGTTGCCACAAAAATTTGGGTCTGATCGGTTTAGCCGTGTTGACGTTTATTGTATACAGACAAACACACAGGCCAGATTTAAAAATATATTATTAAAGAATAGGAAGGTTTATCTTGTATATAATATATAATTAAAGAATAGGAAGGTTTATCTTGTATTTAATATATAATTAAAGAATAGGAAGGTTTATCTTGTATTTAATATATTATTGAAGAATAGGGAGGTTTATCTTGTATATAATATATTATTGAAGAATAGGTTTATCTTGTATTTAATATATTATTGAAGAATAGAAAGGTTTATCTTGTATTTAATATATAATTAAAGAACAGGAAGGTTTATCTATATAATATATTATTGAAGAATAGGAAGGTTTATCTTGTATATAATAGATTATTGAAGAATAGGAAGGTTTATCTTGTATTTAATATATTATTAAAGAATAGGAAGGTTTATCTTGTATTTAATATATTATTAAAGAATAGGAAGGTTTATCTTGTATTTAATATATTATTAAAGAATATGAAGGTTTATCTTGTATTCAATATATTATTAAAGAATAGGAAGGTTTATCTTGTATGTAATATATTATTGAAGAATAGGAAGGTTTATCTTGTATGTAATATATTATTGAAGTTAATAGGAAGGTTTATCTTGTATATAATATATTATTGAAGAATAGGAAGGTTTATCTTGTATGTAATATATTATTGAAGAATAGGAAGGTTTATCTTGTATATAATATATTATTGAAGAATAGGAAGGTTTATCTTGTATGTAATATATTATTAAAGAATAGGAAGGTTTATCTTGTATATAATATATTATTGAAGAATAGGAAGGTTTATCTTGTATTTAATATATTATTAAAGAATAGTAAGGTTTATCTTGTATGTAATAGATTATTGAAGAATAGGAAGGTTTACCTTGTGTGTAATTCTGACAGCTAGATTAACTTCTTTGCGGACATTATTTATGATTTTGAAGATTACAGTTCTAGAGATCGTAATTTGTTCTGATTGAAAGTAATACAATCATATCATCTGTAATTTATTCAATTAAGCAATTAACTTCTTATCTTGTGTCTTCCCGTAATATTTACAAAATTTGTTCAATTATTCAGTCACGTAAAAATAGTTTGAGGATTTTAGTAATCATCTGTTTCGTCATACGTTTTTTATGTTTTATTAGATTATAGAAATTGTATTTAAAGGGGACCCTCCATTTAAAGTATTGCATACCTAATTCACATCGCTACCCTTTAAATATACGCCCGGGGGAACTGATGGCGCTATCCTTGTTTTACTATCTGAAAATTGATTGACTTTAACTGTGCTTTCTCTGAAATAGTACCTTCCGATTTTGAAAATTACGCTTAAAAAATTTGTCCATTTTCCTTTTTAATTAGTCGAAATGAAATAGAATTAGATTTGTTTTGTGAACTGCGGACCAATGAATATGATTAACAGGAATCTGCACAGATTTTGTAAACAAACATTGTACTGCAGGCTGTGAAATAAAATATAAACAAATATATTTACACCGAGTTTATTTAGATTTCGAGTAGGATGAATGTAGACACTGCAGTACAGAAATCTTTTGGGCTTTTTGGTTTTCAGATTCCTTGCGGCGGACCAAGATTTAGAAGATCAATTAGCTGTGAAAAAAGATGAAACATACTATTTCATTTAGGGAGAAGAGAGGGAGGGGGTGGGGCGGGGTTCCCACCAAAACTGAAAATCTGTCAAAGAATCTATTTAGCAATAGAATTATTGGGAAAAATGGTTCCGAGTACAATTTTTCATTTTAAATAATGGAAATGCTTTGGTAATGAATAGTGAGAAGCGGGATTATGTTAAAAATGTTTACGGGGCGCGAAAAAAAATATTTAACGAAAAGCGTTTAGCAGAAATTAATGTGGGGAGGGGGGGGGGATAAAGGCGTCGTCCATTTAAACTTTAGTATATTAGTTGAAGAATGTGAAAGTTTAAGGAAACAATTTGACCAAACCTGGAGATGTATTTATTCTTATACAGGAAATTTACAGGATATATCTTGCTAATGCGGGATAAATGTACATATATGTATGCTTTACAGGATTCCTATGTACAGGATATAACTTGCTAGAGCAGGATACATTTACACATTTGTACGCTTTATAGGATTCACATTTATGTACGGTTTACAGTATCAACATGTAAAGGATATATCTTCCTAATGCAGGATAAATGTATATATGTACGCTTTACAGTATTTACATGTACATGAAATATCTTCTTAATGCAGGATTAATGTACATATATGTATGCTTCACAGGATTCATATGTGCAGGGTATATCTTCCAAATGCAGGATTAATGCACATAAATGTACGCTTAACAGGATTCACATGTACATGAAATATCTACTTGATGCAGGATAAATGTACATATATATACGCTTTACATGGATTCCTATATACAGAATATATCTTCTTAATGCAGGATAAATGTACATTTATGTACGCTTTACAAGATTCCTATGTACAGGATGTACCTATATAATGTAGGATAAATGTACATATATGTACGCTTTACAGGATTCCTATGTACAAGATGTACCTATATAATGTAGGATAAATGTATATCACATCAAACTAAAATATATTGTACAATTTATATGTTTTCATAATTCCTCTTCTTGAAGAGCTATTGAGAAGAATAGAAAAGTTTAGGTTTTCTAATATGTAACCAGATAAATTTATTTTTTATAGTTGTAGCTCTGATCGAGGATCTACCTACGAGGTCACAAAGTTCAAGTTCTGCAGAATAAATTTTATCTTATTCTTCTCCATAGTTCAGTGTGATATAAGTAAATATATATGTTTGCTTTACAAGAATCATTTTTACGTACAATGTACAAAGAGGAGTAAAAGTCCATATAAAACATTTTTAACTTACATAGTCGTCTATCTTAAGCGTGTTTTCACTGTTTCTGAATTTTCCGAACCGTGAACAGTCTCTTTAACACCTGTCTAAAATAAAAACGCAGTGATTATTTTCTGTATGTTGAGAGAGGTGAGCCCACCCAGTGTTAATACTGTATAATTGTATATTTCTATGGGATAGATACAATTTATGAATCTTTTCTCTTGTTACAATAGAAACGTGCACAGTAGATATAGGTTTAATACACTCCGGCTAACCAACGGCCCTAAAACTAAACGGAGCTAGAGCTTCTAAAGTCAGGTTTACTTAAGCTAAAATCCATCAAATTATCGTTTTCGAAGATGTTTCTCTATCAAAGAGTAACCATTATTTAAATTCTGAGAAAGATGAAAAATATTCAGATTCAACTATTTGGACTAAAATTTAAGGATATGAATGAAATATCGCATCGCATAGTTTAAGGATATAACACTAAAGAAATATCCAAAAAAGTTTTTTTTTAAACCTAAAATAGTTCAAGGGTTTTATATGACAGAGATATCAATACAGGTGCATTGAAGGAATATCCAAAAAGGATATAATGTAAAAGATATCCACAAAGTTTAAAAATATGATATGAAAGATATCCACAAAGATTCAATTATAAAATATGAAAGATCCATTCAAAATAATTCCAGGATATATCTTGAAAGATATATCCATCAGGATATAAAGTGGCAAAAATATCCACAACGTATCAAAGAATTGTCTTGAAAGATATTTCCAGAGCTGAAAACTTTAGAATAGTGGATATCGGGATTAAGGCTTAATCCACTCTCTTTCTTAATCTCCAGATTAAATATTGCTTGTTCTCCACTCATTTTTAATCTCCAGAGCTGAAAACTTTAGAATGTGATATCCTTAATCCCGATCTGTTAATTAATCTGGAGATAAAATTCATGAGGACAACAAGCAATATTTAATCTGGAGATTAAGAAAAAGAGTGGATTAAGCATTAATCCCATTATCCACCATTCTAAAGTTCCCAGCTCAGATTAATTAACCGATCAGGATTAAGGATATCCCATTCAAAAGTTCCCATCTCTGAAAGGTTAAAGGATATAACACGAAAGAGATATCTATAACTAAGAACTAAAAGGTAAATCAAAAAATATTTTTACCGGTGCAAGGATATAAAGGGTGTAAAAAAAAACACTTCACACTTTTTTCTCTCACAAGCTTCTTATTATCCGATCTTAATGAAATCACAGTGTGTCTCTAGAATGTTAGGACAACACGTTTAAAAAATATCGAATTTGGTCAACCCTGCTCTGAATAAATGCTCTTTTTCTCTTAGGAAAGGATTTGATCTTTCCAATTCTCTCCACACTGCTTCAGATGATAGAGATTTATACATTTTTTCCTTGCAAACTTCTTTTTTACCATTGCCCAAATATTTTAAATCATAGGCCGGACATTATTTAACTTTGTGGTTATTGTCAGGTATACACAAAACTTTAATTTAAACTATTGCTACTTGCTATTTACTCAAGGAAAAGCTTTAGTTTATTAAGGTATATCCCTTCTTCGAATAAAATATGGTCCCATCAGCTTATAGTAATGGTCCCCGGTAACTGTTCACATTGTTGATGTAGAAGTGAAGGAACTGGATCTGCATTTCCCTGGAAATGGTGGTTTACAGTGTACTCCAAATTGATGTTTGGTCATATTATATCCACCCTGAACTAGTAATCTGTAAACTAACAAAGCTTTTATGAGTTTTAGGCTTATATTAAACACCTTTAAATAGATTTTTTCATTTTTAAGCAAGTTTTGGCCCTCTTTAGGCTTTGTTAATGTTTTTTTTGCAGGTAGACTGATCAGTTTCATCCCAAGAGATAAAGAGCATTTATTTAGAGCAGTGTCGACCAAGAGATAAAGACCAAGAGATAAAGAGAGAAAAAAGTGTTAAGTGTTTGGTTTTTTTTGACACCCTTTAGCATGTATGAGATATCCACAAATGTTTAAGGATAAAATACGGAAAATATGTCCACAAATGTTTAATTATCTGATAAAAAGAGATATTCCACAAAGATTGAAGGATATAACATGGTCGAGATATTCCATCAAGACTGAAGGATATAACATGAAAGAGATATTTCACCAAGGTAGATGGATATAACATGAAAGAGATATTCCACCAAGGTAGAAGGATATACCATGAAAGAGATATTCCACCAAGGTTAAAGGAACTAAAATCAAAGATCTAAGCATTCAAAGAAAAGAAAGATATATCTAGCAAGCCTCCGCCTAAGTGCAAGAGTGGTATGAATGGTTTAGTTGAATAGATTGACACGACCAAACAGATAAACGGAGCTGGGAGAGAGAGAGATATTTAGTCAAACTCATTATTCATTCCTTGGGATTTCTTATACTCCGTACTTACACTGAACTCACAAGACTATAGGGACCACACACTATACACAAACCTATTTACATTCCTATATTTCAAGCCGTTTCGGAAAAGGATAAAATAGGTTCTGGAGAAAGTTCTGAATTTAGCTTGAAAGAGAAATCGAAGAATGAAAAAGAAATAAGAGGAAATTCAATTCAAGATAAAAAGGTAACAAAGAAGATATCTTGAAGTTAAATTAGCGGGGAAAATATGGGAACCAAATGAGAGGATTTTAAAATATTATTATTTTAATTATTATAATAGATTTAAAAGAAATCAGAACAATGCAGAGCTCTTAAACGAGGATAAAGGACCCAGAATAAATAGAGTAAAGAAAAATGTTTGCTAATTTAAATAAGAACAAAGATTATCTGAAAATATCAATCGAAATTTAAGAAGAAGAATGAAAACTATCCCATGCTACCATCAATAAACCTCTACCCATCAGACCCATAATTTTTCTCCCTCTATCACAAGGAACTAAATACAGGAACGCCCAATTCAGATCTACGCATGTTATGTACTGCACACATTGGGAGGAATGTAAACAAACCCAGTGCCCCCACAGAAGTTGAAGGGAAAGGACTACAGCTCTGATGTGATATTACAGTTCAACAAAAAACAAGTTAATATATCAAGATAGAGCGAATACATATGATTTTTTGGCTTTCTGGTCAATATGGAAAGTACAATATCAATATATTCTTGTTCCACCCCCTTGGGCCCTTTTCCCTCAAAAATGATGCGTTTTGATCTCCTCCCACTGCAGTACACAGATTTGACGCATGAGATATGGCGGTTCCTGGTCTATATATTTCTTGCTCTATTACCCCCCGACCCTGTACTCCTAGAGTGACTGCACATGTAAACAAACCTGGTCCTCTAAAATTATACATTTTAAACTAAGTGCCTACGACAATATTTCAATGTCTACTCCTGGATTACCTGAAATCTCTACTACAGGACAGACTGGAGTATCAACGTCTGAATTATACTCCGATTCTCTTATTTCATTTAGACTACAAGGAGCCCCTTACTCCAAAACCATCCTGACCCTCTACTCCTTGACTACCCTGAGCGTCTACTCCTGGGCTACCCTGAGCCTCTAATCCTGGACTACCCTGAGCCTCTACTTCTGGACTACCCTAAGCCTCTACTCCTGGACTACCCTGAGCCTCTACTCCTGGACTACCCAAAGCCTCTACTCCTGGACTACCCTGAGCCTCTACTCCTGGACTATCCTAAGCCTCTACTCCTGGACTACCCTGAGCCTCTACTCATGAACCACCTTGAGCCTCTACTCCTGGACTACTCTAAGCTTCCACTACTCCTAGACTACCCTCAACTTTCACTCCTGGACTACCCTGTCTTTCACTCCTAGACTACTCGGAACCTTTACTCAAGGACTAAATTGAACCTCAAAGACTGAAATACCCTAGACCTCTATTCTTAATCGTAATCCTCTATTCTATGACTAACCTGAACCATAACATCAAGACTACCCTGAGACTGTATCAAGTATACTATGGAATATATGCTAGGGAGATACAAGCGACGCCGCCCGCTCTATTATATGACTATACAAGCTTTGCTGACGGGGTTCTCCATTTGAAAAAGAGTTTTAAAAGGTCGTCTTTTAATATTTTAAATGTGGTTTTTTACTATGCCATATTAAATAAAACCAATTTCTTATATTACGAAAAAAAACGCTTGTATTGCTAATATTTTTGCATCCCGATAAAATGTTTTTGTTTGCGTTATTCAGCCTAATTCTTTCCTTGTTTAATGTATTCAATAACCTATTCTGAATACATGTACACGGTACTTGTACATCAGACAAATATTTCTTATTCAAAGGAAGTACCGTCTGCAAAGCCTGTATAATCGTATGGTAGGGCGGGCCGCGTCTTTGTATCTCCCTTATATTTCATACTCCTTGGTCTGTATTGAGTTCTTGGTTCTATTACTGTAAATTAGAATCAGATGAAAATCCTTGTTAGTTTCAAGGTTCTTCAAAGATTAATTGTATAATTGGATTTCAAGATGTTATGACGGGAATTGTTATAAATCACGTGAATTAAATATCGATGATTCTACAACTCTCTCTCTTCTAGTTTCTAGTCCAGCCAAACCATCCCGCTAGGATCATACATAAGTTTAAATACTTCATTAAATAATCTTCATCAGTTTATATTCTAGCCATAATATAGGGAGATCCAGAGCACAGAAGACGCAAGTTCAAATTAAATGAATATAAAGATATGTAATCCATACTATATTGTCTAACGAAATTTAAATATATTTTTGTATCTGTCTTTATTTATTCTGAAATATTTTCATGTGTTTTTTATTCTCTTATTGTTAAGACATAATATCATATTTGTGTAGTGTGCCATATATACAGGGTGTACTGCTGTACTTTAAACATTTCATCAACAGTATGTACTTTTCCTTTAGCTGTACTTCTAAACAGTTCGTTTTCAATGAATTGCCCTCTATATATACTAGACAGTATTCAGTATACAGGGTGTAACATATACTAGACATTATTCAGTATACATACAGTATGCAGTATACATTTTTTTAATTTGATCCCAAAATTTTTAAATTCGAAAACCATAATATTTTATAAACTCTTATTATATATTTCTTACAAGGTACTGTCCTCGTAATTTAAAATGATATCCTTGTTTTTCTATTTGAAAATGGATTCATTTTGATTATTAACATTAAGAATCCAGCTTTTAATTCATTAGTAGGAGGTTCACTTAAAATTCCGCCTACAGTCCCTTTAATGCTTTTCTTTTTCTCCTTGTTTTCAGTCAAAGTCCAGCAGTTTTCGGTGAAATTGTGAAAAAGTAGATAGTTCTCTGATAAACTACTGGAAGATAAATATAATCTGTAGAACTGTGAACATCAGCAACTAAGGTAGAATATTTCTCCAGCTAGGATTCTGCACTGATTCCAGGAAAGATTGATATGCCCAGGTTTTCTACATTGCTGGGTTCGGTTCAAATGTAAATATTTCTCTTATACATATACATGGTTTGCTTACATCAAGGTTGGGAGCGGAAATTTTCTCTGTATAGGTTTGACATAGAGTAGGTTGGGACTGAACCAGGAAAATAAAATAAATGAATAAACCTGGCATGAACCAGCGATATCAACGGAAACCTCTCTCCCACTTAATCCACCCCGCCAAAACCACCGTCGTAAAAAAATAACAGGAATGCAATTTTATGAGCCACAATTAAGCAGAAAAAGAACAGAAATTAGAAATAGAAATTTAGTCTAAAATTTAATTAAGGAATTTTTTAAAACTTTTTTTCGTCAACGTAATACTGTATGATTAACGAAAAATGCCTAGTTCTAATTGTTCTGCTAGGAAATATGTGTGTGTTCTACTCATTAGATGGAGCTGAGTTGTAAAGAGCTACTCTGTATAATTTATCTCAAAACCCCTATCTCATCAGCGCTAATTATATATTTCTGTGCAAATTGCATTTCCCGGAGCACCATTGACCCCAGCAGAGAAAGGAGAAACTTGAAATTTTAACATGTTAATTTTCACTCAAGCTCGGACCAAAAAATGTATTTTTTCGAGTTGATTATATAGTAAAAAGGTGTTCTCTAGCCCTACAGCTTCACAAGGAATGTATCTTTGAAATATGCAATTATCAGAATTATGAGCACAAAAACTAATAGAAGCGCCAGCATAGTCTGATGAATCGGCATCATACACTACAATCCCAGGCTTGGATTCATCCTTCATCCATTCATATACAATCCTAGGTTTGGATTCATCCTTTATCCATTCATATACAATCTTGGGCTTGTATTCATCCTTCATCCATTCATATACAATCCTAGGCTTCGATTCATCCTTTATCAATTCATATACAATCCTAGGCTTGGATTCATCCTTCATCCGTTCTTATACAATCCTAGGCTTGGATTCATCCTTTATCCATTCATATACAATCCTAGGCTTGGATTCATCCTTTATCCATTCACATACAATCCCAGGCTTGGATTCATCCTTTATCCATTTATATACAATCCTAGGCTTGAATTCATCCTTTATCCATTCATATACAATCCTAGCTTTGGATTCATCCTTCATCCATTCATATACAATCCTAGGCTTGGATTCATCCTTCATCCATTCATATACAATCATAGGCTTGAATTCATCCTTTATCCATTCATATACAATCCTAGGCTTGGATTCATCCTTTATCCATTCATATACAATCCTAGGTTTTGATTCATCCTTCATCCATTCATATACAGTCCTAGGCTTGGATTTATCCTTCATCCATTCATATACAGTCCTAGGTTTGGATTCATCCTTCATCCATTCCTATACAGTCCTAGGTTTGGATTCATTCTTCATCCATTCATATACAATCCTAGGCTTGGATTCATCCTTCATCCATTCATATACAAACCTAGGTTTGGATTCATCCTTCATCCATTCATATACAATCCTAGGTTTAGTATCATTCTTCTTCCTTCATATAAAATTCTACTCAAAGATACAGCTAAAATAACTTGATTAATGAAATTTACTTTTTGTCCTGTGTAATTTACTTTTCATTTATCCTTAACGTCAACAATTATCCTCATAGCTATTTATCTCCCCCCCCCNAAAAGACGATAGTTGCAAAAAATCTGTATTTCAAACCTGGAAAACATAAATGATGTAAATACAGTGTTTAACATGCTATCGAAATGCAGGTATATAATTTTAAAAATGACAGACGGGTGAACTTAAGAAAATACAAATAATGAAATGACACAGTTTCAAAATTGCTTGGTGATCGGGGTATATATTTATAAACTGAAAAATTAATAAACTATTGTAATGTTATTCATAATATTGTTTTGTTAATGAGATTATAATCTTCCACTTAAAGAGAAATAACTTACTATTGAGTCTTAAACACACAAAAAGAGGAGTGATAGGTTGGTGACTAAAACATGATTGTCTTCTGAAAATAATTGCTGGATTAAAAAAGGATGATTTAAAATTTTAAGTTATATCACTTCAACGTGGATTTTATAGTTTTAGTTTGCGAATTGACTAAAGGAGAAGGTTTGGTTTGGTGTGTGGGTTAAGACTCTGGCCGGAGACAATCATTGGTAAAGGCGACTTTCAAAAAAGGATCTGGGGAGTTTAGAGATTTTTGTTAAACAAACTTGTAAATTCGATACTTAATAAATCTTTAAAGAGTTGTTGATATTTCTTCATAATACTATATACATATATATGCAATTCCAGTATATATGGATGAAGAAGTTTAACAGCCAAAATTTGCTTGAATAAAACTTTTCCGTGACAGTTGAAATAATTATTTAGAGTAGACAAAGGTTAAAAATGTCACACTAAAAAAGTTATTCAAATATATATATTCTTATCAACTCAGTAGGGGTAAGTAAACATTGTACTAACTACATATTGTTAAACTCCGGAACCGGAAACCATGTTACGAGCGTAATCAACCCATCGTAAGACCGGTTGAATTTGATATATTCATATATTTCCCCCAAACTATCTCAGTTTTGCCAATTTATTGACATTGAACTTGAACTCTGGGGGGAAGTGGTGTCCTATTAAAGAATATTAAAGTATAATAAACGAACACGGAAATACATGTTTCCGTGTTTACAAATATGTTTGCAGTACTGTAGAACCTAGATAGTTCTTCATCGTAATACTAGTCTTCTTTAAAACAAGATTGATCCTGGCTCATTAAGGATTTGTCACCTATTTATTTCATTAGTACATTAATTCTTGTATTTTAATTGATTCTAATAGATGAACTTTAACTCATTTTAATTAACAGAAAGAGATAAGATATTGTGACATATTCTTGTTTAAAGGGGCAGTAAGCGCTATTACAAGTGAACCTCCATGCAAAGATTTACAACGATACCCATGAAACCTTTATCTGATAACGTGGAAGGTATTTTCGTTTTCCTTAGTTCAAAATGTTTAATTTAAATAATTTTGATATGTCTTGCTATAGTAGTAATGCGCAAGTCACTTTTGTAGAGACACCACAATTGAAAATAATCAGTTTTCAAAATGATAAACATTGATATCTAATTCATACTTAATCAGGCAAAGCTTTAAAGAGTACGGTTCTGACTTGGGTATTGCTATCTTTGCAATTACTTGTAATTACGTATACAGTCCCTTTAAAGGGACTAGTTTTAAATCTTGGTTTGTTGTAAAGTGGGTCTTCGGTTATCCTAGTTCTTGAAGTTTCAAGCCCTTCTCCTTATCTTTACCAAGAAAAGCGTCTTAAAATTCCAATCCAGAGAGGAGTTTCCAAAGTTAGCAATAATAAAGGGACAAGAAGAGTTTTTAAATTCTATTTGATAATACTACAATATGAATGTAAAGAAACTAATTTTTCAATCCCTATATCTTTGCAACCAAATGTCGTAGCTAGAACTTTGATATGTATTGTATATCTTTATGTGTATTATATAGTGTAAATGAATTTTATATCTATATAGTGTAATGTATAATGTAGATGAATTGTATCTATATAGTGTATTGTATAATATACATGAATTGTCTATCTATATGTGTATTGTATAATGTACATGAATTGTATATCTATATAGTGTATTGTATAGTGTACATGAATTGTATATCTATATGTGTATTGTATAATGTACATGAATTGTATATCTATATGTGTATTGTATAGTGTACATGAATTGTATATCTATATAGTGTATTGTATAGTGTACATGAATTGTATATCTATATGTGTATTGTATAATGTACATGAATTATATATCTATATGTGTATTGTATAGTGTACATGAATTGTATATCTATATATGTGTATTGTGTAATGTACATGAATTGTATATCTATATGTGTATTGTATAATGTACATGAATTGTATATATATATGTGTATTGTATAGTGTACATGAATTATATAGATATATGTGTATTGTATAGTGTACATGAATTATATATCTATATATGCGTATTGTATAGTGTACATGAATTATATATCTATATGCGTATTGTATAGTGTACATGAATTGTATATCTATATATGTGTATTGTTTAGTGTACACGAATACAAAACATAAAAAAGTCTCCTGGTAATAGTATAAGCCGAGCTCTAATCTTATCCGAGACGGATGAAAGGATTGAGAGAGAAAAAACTCAACTATCCATCATAGGATGATCTTGTAAAATATTTCCAGAACAATCCAGGCATGAGTCTCTGTCCGAACCCTGCTTAAATAGATCTGAGTTTTTGATCCGTATCTCTTGAACTTGGGATTATTATTTAATATCTCTGGAACCTAAGTTCATCAATATCTCTTGAATCTGAGATTATCAAACAGTATCTATCGAAACTGACTTTCTCAATCAATATCTCTGGAACCTGAGTTTAATATTTAATATCTCTGGAACCTGGATTTATTATTTAATATCTCTTAAACCTGAGTTTATCATTCAATATCTCTTGAACCAGAATTTATTAATCAATATCTCTTGAACCTGAGTTTATTATCTGATAACTCTTAAACCTGAGTTATTATTTTATATATCTTGAATCTCAGTTTATTATTTAATATCTCTGGAACCTGAGTTTATTAATCAATATCTCTGGAACCTGAGTTTATTAATAAATATCTCTGGAACCTGGGTTTATTAATCAATATCTCTTGAACCTTAGTTTATTATTTAATATCTCTTGAACCTGAGTTTATTATTTAATATCTCTTGAACCTGAGTTTATTATTTAATATCTCTTGAACCTGAGTTTATTATTTAATATCTCTTGAACCTGAGTTTATTATTTAATATCTCTTGAACCTGAGTTTATTATTTAATATCTCTGGAACCTGAGTTTATTAATCAATATCTCTGGAACCTGAGATTGATATCTGATATCTTTGAAACCAAATTGAATTAAGATAGAACCTTGAATTGAACCTGATATAGGAACTGATATTGAACCTCAGATTGAAGAGCAAAATCTCCCGAATCTTTTTTATAAACTTTAACTTTAGATTCCAACTTACGGATACATCTATTAAGGTGGAATGGGGTAAGTTGGGGTTCTGACAGAAATGGTAACTATTCGTGTTTCTAGATTTGAAAATGTTGGAATCGTGCCTTGAACTTCTTATTTCTCCAAAGTTTCTTATACATTTGATGTTGGAACTTTTCTCTGCTCTTAACCCTTCTTTTTGCACATGTTAAGAGATAGAAGAATGGAGAAGATAAGGTTCAAGTATTCATCTCCTAACTTTTTTACTCCTCTACTTCAAACCCAATCTACAAATCAATTTTATATCCTTCTCTAATCCTTTCACTGTCCAACTTTTCATCTTTTGTTACTTTTCAGTTTGATCTTTTGTATCGGGAACTCGATTCTTTTTAGATTCTTTTAACTTATTGTAATTCTTTTCTTGTAATTTTATTCCGACAAAATGAATGGAAAATCAAAATAAAAGTTCCAGTTTGTCGCAATAAGAGTGTCTGCAATCTTTATCTTTTTTCAATATCTTTAGGGTTTTTAGAACCTAAAACTAAACTATCCGTCCTGAATCTCCTGGAGGGATGGGAGGAACCCTACAACTATACAGGAGATATATCCACCAGAAACCTATGTATCCCTGAGAAAAGTGTCTACAGGACGGGTAGGGATGATCTGTAATTGGATAAGGTTTCTCTGTTCAGAAGAATTGACAGAATGATTATACAATCCTAGGATTATACACGGTCTGGGACAATATAATTTTATTATATGGTAAAATATGATAATCTGATGAATGGTGATGAATGGTGTATTGGCGGGGCCTGGAAGCCGGGAATAGAAGGTTTAGGACCCGGTCAGTATATTCTCCAGGTTCAGTTCTTCAGTATACTCAGATACCTTCGCACCACGCGTCCCAGTCTCCAACCGTGATCAGTGTGTAACATGTACATAGACTCTGTATAGACCCGGGGAATAATAAATCAAACATGGTCTCTGTGAAATGGAAAATTCTTCTCTTTACGTCTCTACTTTCCTTATCAAGCAGTACAAATATTAACCGACATTTTAATGGAGATATCTTTATTGATCAAGGTACTAAAATGGAATGTAAATTGTTTGAATAGTCCTCTTGGATTTATGAGTCTACTTTCTTTAATCAGATTACTCTAAGAACATTCTCCACTAGCTTATCCATTTATTAACCAGTCAGATTTAAATAACAACAAAAAACACGACAAGATTGCATCTTAAGATATGTTAAAAAACATCCATTCAATGTTTAGATTTGTTGTTCTCTTGTTTCAGCATTGTTTTTAACAGTTTTATGAGGTTTTAACAAAATACAGTAGATCTGAAGGTTTTGCGAAACGAACAAGGTTAATTTATACTTATAGTTTTATTATGGTAAAGCACCACGATATACTGCACTCTGTAATTTTAAAGTTATCCTTAAGTTTTTAACGGTAACAGAGTTATTCTACAGGAACGTTTCTTGACGTTTATGTATTTTTGGAACGTATCTTGACATTTATGTATTGTAGGAACTATCTTGACATCTATAAATTATAGGAACTATCTTGACATCTATGTATTTTAGGATCTTATCCTAACATCTATATATTGTAGGAACTATCTTGATATCTATGTACTCTAAGGAACTATCTTGACATCTATGTATTTTAGGATCTTAACCTAACATCTATATATTGTAGGAACTATCTTGATATCTATATACTCTAGGAACTATCTTGACATCTTCGTATTTTAGGATCTTATCCTAACATCTATATATTGTAGGAACTATCTTGATATCTATGTACTCTAAGGAACTATCTTGACATCTATGTATTCTGGGAACATATTTTGACATTTATATAATGTAGAAACCTAGATTAATGTCGATCTATTCTAGGAGTCTAGAGTATATAAACATGTATTTATTCTAGGAACCTAGATTTATGTTTATGCATTGTAGGAACCTAGATTAATATTCATGATGGGTTTCCAGCCCTCTATCAGGGTTTATCGGCTTCAAATCTTCTCCAGGCCATTTTTAGAACGTTTTAAACCAGCTTCGTTGAAAATGGTTTAAATCTGTAAAAATGTATTTAAAAAATCTAAATCCCTCCCAAATATGGACGAATTCCATCGGACTATCCCCTAAATTATCAAACTAAGCTATTCTTCTCAACGTTCATTTTGTTCCTTCAAAGATTTGTAAAAATAAACTTGTTTCTTTTACAATCTTTTTGATAATCATCTGATACTTGCTTTGTCATTCGATATATTGAGTATTATTCTCAACTTTTCATTCTATTCATTATATACTTGCATTTCTTGCTTACACGCCCCAAGTATAAATAGAAGTGCCTTTAACTTTTAGCCTTGTCATTTCATAGAGTAAAGAAATTCATCGATCTAGCACGAATCAATAGTGTCATGTTCACCTTAGAAAGAATGTACGCTACCCAAAGATAATAAATTGTACCTTTCTTCTTTCCTCTTTGAATTCCTTCATAATTATTTTCTTATATGTCTCAATCCTCTTAAATCCCTTTTTATTTATAATTTAATCCTTTTTCGATCCTCTTGAATCTTCTTTCTTTCCTGTTTCGATCTTCTTTCTATTCTTTTCAATCTTCCTTAAATCCTTTTAATCCTTTCTATTTTTGTTTCGATCCTTTTTCTATCCTCTTTAATTCTCTTTCAATCCTTTCTATCCATTTCGATCCTCTTGAATTCTCTTTCTATCCTGTTTTGATCTCCTTAGATCCTCTACAAATATGTCTAAACTTTTTCGATCCTTTTCTATCCTCATAATGTCGTTTAATTGTCTTTGTATTTTATTTCAATCCTGCTTTTTCTGTTTTAACCTTATTGATCTTTTTTGTCTTCTTTCTATTCTCTTCTTTTCCTCTTCTTCTCCTCTTCTTCTCCTCTTCTTCTCCTCTTCTTCTCCTCTTCTTCTCCTCTTCATCTCCTCTTCTTTTCCTCTTCTTCTCCTCTTCTTTTCCTCTTCTTCTTCTCTTCTTTTCCTCTTCTTCTCCTCTTCTTTTCCTCTTCTTCTCCTCTTCTTCTCCTCTTCTTCTCCTCTTCTTCTTCTCTTCTTCTCCTCTTCTTCTCCTCTTCTTCTCCTCTTTTTCTCCTCTTCTTCTCCTCTTCTTCTCCTCTTCTTCTCCTCTTCTTCTCTTCTTCTTCTTATCTTCTTCTCCTCTTCTTCTTCTCCTTTTCTCCTCTTCTTCTCCTCTTTTTCTCCTAGTTCTAAACTAAGTTCTTCTCCTAAGTTTCTACCCCCTTTTATTTAAATTTTGTTCTCCCAAACACACGATGATATGTCAGTTTTTGCATATTATGATGGAATAGAGGACAAATGATCACAGATATAAAAGTTGGGTGGGTGAATGGATGGATAATATCAATTAAACTCTCATTACAGTCTCGGTATTCGTCCTCTCATTAAGATGATGATCAGAGTCCGGAGTAATCTCTCCAGTTTAGACATAATCTTTAAATCTTCCATTACAGGGTGCGGATACAACCTATGTGAGAGGGTGGAGAACTCCTACGCTCTACGCGAGGGAGCAGAGTGTCAATGTCAGTGTCCAGCTGAGCGGTCAACCTACAAGGAGGATACTAGAGAATGTGTCAATGATTTACAAAGTAAGATTAATAATTATGTGTCTGATGCCCCCCCCCCCCCTGTACTGTTAGTATAAACTTTTGGGCTGGATGATAACGGATTCTTGTCCTGGTTTATTATTACTCTCACTAACTAGGAGTTTAATCAACACTAGTTTCAATATGAAGATGGGAAAGTTATATTGGCGGAGATTATATTAGCGGAGAATGAACTATAATGAGAGATTTATATTAGCGGAGAATGAGTTAAAAGGGGAGATTTATATTAGCGGAGAATGAAATATAATTAGATATTTATATTAGCGGAGATTGGGTTAAAATGAGAGATTTATATTATTGGAGAATGAGCTAAAATGAGAGATTTATATTAGGCAGAGAATGACTTAAAATGGGAGATTTATATTTGCGGAGAATAATTCAAAATTAGAGATTAACATAAGTGGAGAATGAATTGAAATGAGAGATTCATATTAGCGGTGAATGAATTAGAATATGAGAGATTTATACTAGCGGAGAATGAATTTAATTGAAAGATTTATATAAGCGGAGAATTGATATCAAGGAGAGATTTATATAAGCGGAGATTAAATTGAGACGAGAGATTAATGTTAGCGGATAATAGCCTTGACCAAAGTTGAAGTGTGAATACAAGATATTATCACGTGAGCATTCTTTATTCAGTATTGTTGCAATATAAATACTACTCATCATACACTTCCCACTCAACCTGCCTTCAATACTTCCCACTCAGCCATTATACTTCCCACTCAGATTTCATACTTCTCACTCAGCCTTCATACTTCCCATTCAGCCTTTACACTTCCCACTCAGCCTTTATACATCCCACTAAACCTTTATACCTCCCACTCAGCCTTTATACTTCCCACTAAACCTTAATACTTACCGCTCAGCCTTTGTACTTCCCAATCAACCTTCCTACTTTCCACAAAGCCTTCATACTTCCCATTCAACCTTTACACATCCCACTCAATCTTTTTAGTTTCAACCCGACCTTTCTACTTTCAACTCAACATTTATGCTACCAACTCAACCTTCCTACTTCCGACTCAATTTTCCTATTTCCCGCTCAGCCTTCATACTTACAACTCAACCTTCATACTTCCCACTCGATCTTCATACTTTCCACTCAACCTTCCTACTTCCCACTCGATCTTCATACTTTCCACTCAACCATTATAATTTCCACTCAACCTTCCTACTTTTAGCAAAGCCTTTCTATCCCCCTTCTATCCTCCTTCTATCCCCCTTCTATCCCCTTCTATCCCCCTTCTATCCTCCTTCTATCCTCCTTCTATCCTCCTTCTATCCTCCTTCTTTCCTCCTTCTTTCCACCTTCTATCCCCCTTCTATCCCCCTTCTATCCTCCTTCTATCCCCTTTCTATCCTCCTTCTATCCCCCTTCTATCCAAAGTTAAACTCTACCTTTCTCTTTCGTTGGTTTCTGTTTAATTACTAAACGGCCATCTTTGGTTACAATCATTGATTCTATAAATATTATATTTCAATTCTGTCACGGAAGTTACACCCTCTGATACATAATCTAAATCACGGTTGGTCAATTTTAACCTTTTTTATATTTATGGTGGAGGGGCAAATTATGAATGCATTAAAAATAAACGTACATTTTTAGTTAGTAATTTAATTGTGAAAGGTAATTTCTTTCGAACGTTTAAAGTCAATCCTTTTCATATCACAACGTATAAATATTCTGGAAGATTTCACCCAAGGTTTGAGAAAAATGAGTTGAAGGACTTGTGATTATAGGAGTTAGGATTCGTTTTCTCTCTATCCCTAGGCTTCGATATAAGATTGATACAGGAAACCCAATCCGTGGATCAGTAGTGAGCAATCAGATGTCAGAATTCTAAGAATGTTAAGAATATCTAGCAGTAATTCAAACCATCTAACCAGCTAACCGTCTATTTAAACCAATTATATCCAGTTAACCTTATATTTAAACCAATCCTATCCAGCTAATCTTCTATTCAAACCAATCCTACCCAGCTAACCTTTCATCTAAACCAATCCTATCCAGCTAATCTTCTATTTAAACCAATCCTACCTAGCTAACCTTACATTCAAATCAATTATATCCAGCTAACCTTATATTTAAACCAATCCTACCTAGCTAACCTTTCATCTAAATCAATCCTATCCAGCTAACATTCTATTTAAACCAATCCTATACAACAAACCTTCTATTTAAACCAATCCTATACAGCTAACCTTACATTCAAATCAATTATATCCAGCTAACCTTCTATTTCAACCAATCATACACAGCTAACCTTACATTCAAATCAATTATATCCAGCTAACCTTCTATTTAAACCAATCCTACCCAGCTAACCTTACATCTAAACCAAATCCTATCCAGCTAATCTTCTATTTAAACCAATCCTACCCAGCTAACCTTATACTTTAACCAATCCTATCCAGCTAACCTTACATATAAACCAATCCTATCCAGCTAACCTTACATATAAACCAATCCTATCCAGCTAAGCTTACATCTAAGCCAATCCTATTCTGCTTCTCTTACATTTAAACCAGTCTAGGTAGGACTAAACTTATCTATAAACCAATCCTATTCAACTAACATTACACCTAAACCAATCCTATTCAGCTAACCTTACATCTAAAACGCTGCCACTTATATAACTTTGCACCCAACTTATCCTACCCGGAGACTCTTTAATTTAATTCAGATCAGTCTTAGCTAACCATCTAATACTATATAAACCTACTTGTCAAAACCAATTCTTCTTTAAATATTTCCCCCCCAAGCACTTATCTTAAACCGATTCAAATTCTGTCGTTTTATCCTTCGCATCATTATCTGGTCAGATGGATTTATTTTATCTAATTTGATAATGAATCGATTGTTTAACGCTTAACGTTGTGTTTTTATCTTTAGGTTTCGTGTTCCTTCAGAATATATTGGATGTATTTTTATATCCGTAGGCTTAGCTCTGCACATTTAGAAATATGATGGAATATTTATAAAACATTGACCATGAACATTAATAATCTGAGTATGAAGAACACACCTTCCTTCCTTCATAGCCTTACTTTTTTCCTTCTTGTTTCCCTTCCTTACACATGAACCTTCCATAGCCACCCCCATTTCTTTCTTCTTCATACCCCTTGCTTGTATGCCTTCCTTTCTTCCTTCCTTGTACACCTTCCTTTCTTCCTTCTTTACTTCCTTCCTTATAAACCTTCCTTTCTTCCTTCTTCACTTCCTTCCCTATACACCTTCTTTACCCACCCGCCTTCCTTTCTTCCTTCTTGTCCACAGAGTAATTACTCTATGCTCTTGTCTATATTTCAATCACATCTTTCTTCCTTGCCTCTCTTTCTTCCTTACTCGCCTTTATCTCTGTCTTCTTTCCTTCTTTCCTGAGACAACTTCCATCCTCGCCTTACTTTCTTTCTTCTTGTCTATCTTTCCTGAGACACCTTCCATCCTCGTCTTCCTTTCTTTCTTCTTGTCTATCTTTCCTGAGACACCTTCCATCCTCGTCTTCCTTTCTTTCTTCTAGTCTATCTTTCCTGAGACACCTTCCATCCTCGCCTTCCTTTCTTTCTTCTTGTCTATCTTTCCTGAGACACCTTCCATCCTCGCCTTCCTTTCTTTCTTCTTGTATTCCTTCCTCACAAACCTCCCTTTCTTACGTCCCTACTTTCCGTACAACTTCTTCCTATTCTCCCTTATTCTGCAAAATAAATAAATAACTTAGTAAACCGCACTGGTACCATGATGTCACAATGTTATACAGGCGTATCCAAGCAAACAGTCCTTTCAAATTAACCAAAAACCACTAAAGGGGGGGTGGGGTGAGGTAGAGGAGTTTTTAATTCCTAAAAACATCAATAAAATAAGTGGAAATAAATAATGCCTTAAAAGTATTTTTACGTTTTTTGGTCTTTGTGTGTACAAGAGGGAGGGTGGGGGGGTCAGTGATTGTAAGATTTTTTTTCGGAAATCCAATTGAAAATGTTTATATTTGCCAAGATTGAGGATACGACCAATATAAAGTCAATATTTGCAAAGCAATAAATTTTCCTTCTGGGCCCAGGTATTCAGTATAGTGTATACTGTATAGGTTTAAAGATAGGTAAACAAATATTTAATTAACTATTGGACTCTCCCTGTCAACTTCCATCTTTTCCATGTAAACTTCCAACATCTTTTAAACAATTTGGCCTCTCCCTGCCAACTTCTAAACCCTCCCTGTCAACTTCCAGTCTCTCTTTGCCTACTTCTAGATACTCCAGCCTTTTCCTTTCAACTTCCAGTCTTTCTTCAAGCATCCGGTCTCTCTCTCTCTCTATCAACTTCCAGTCACTCTTTAAACATCCGGCCTCTCTTTGTAAACTTCTAGACTACCTGTCAACTTCCAGTCTATCCATGCCCACTTCCAGCCTATTTTTAAACGTCCAGCCTCTCTTTTTTGTAAACGTCTAGACACTCTTTAAACATCCGGCCTCTTCCTTGTCAACTTCTAGTATCTTTTTAAACAATCGGCCTCTCTCTGTCAACTTCTAGATTCGGCAATCATCCAGCCTCTCCCTTTCTATCTTCAGTATCTCTTTCAACTTTCAGCCTCTCTATTAACTTCCAGCCTCTCCCTGTCAACTTCTAGACTATCTTTAAACATTCAGCCTCTCCCTTTCAACTTCCAGTCTCACTTTAAACATCCGTCCTCTTTCTTTAAACTTCCAGCCTCTCTTTAAACATTCAGCCTCTTCCTTTCAACTTACAGCCTCTCTTTAAACATTCAGCCTCTTCCTTTCAACTTCCAGCCTCTCTTTAAACATCCAGCCTCTTTCTTTCAACTTCCAGCCTCTCTTTAAACATTCAGCCTCTTCCTTTCAACTTCCAGCCTCTCTTTAAACATCCAGCCTCTTCCTTTCAACTACCAGCCTCTTTTTAACATCCGTTCTCTTCCTTTAAACTTTTAGACTCTTTTTTAACATCCGGCCTCTCTTTGTCA